CAGAAGCTTGAACACAGTAGGTACAGAAGACTGTGGCCTCTTCTTTTTTTGGCTGTGTAGACACAAAACGTTCTGCTATATTGTTCAGTGTTCTGTTCCTCTGCAGAGCAGGACGCTCCTGATACTCTGCTCTACACTCAGGACAGGTATAAACTCCAGCTCCCGCCTGTTTATCCAGCACTTTCCCAATACAGACCCGGCAGAAGTTATGTCCGCAGCTCAGCATTACGGGATCTGTGTAAATATTCAGGCAGACGGAGCAGTTTAGCTCTTCTCTCAGATCAGAGGACTCCATTCTGGAACGCAGTAACCAGCTATGAAACTGAAAGTGTCTAATCTAATTCTAAAAGCTCCCGGAAGAGGAATGCAAAGAAGGAGGGGTTGTTACTCGGTTAACCCTATAATCCATATGTAACAGTATCCAGTATAAGCTGACAGTTAGTTATTCTCACATGCTTAACACCTTGCATATCCCACTGCATCAAGGATTCTCAATACAAATTAAACCCTACAGGTAAATCTACATGTGAAATAACAGAAATTCTTAATAAATGCTAAGTGATCAAGTGCCACGACTAATTTAAAAGGTTGTTGTCTATTCACACAGATACAGTTGTCTGCCACAGTAGGGAATTTAATTTATGAAAATTAATGTAGAGTGTAAAAAATAAATACAATCTGAAATAAATGTATTAATACATATTTGGCCAGAATTGACGCATCTTATTTTTTTTTAGTGCCTCAATTTGAATTTTGGCATCAGGCTACAACCAATGCATGAATAACTGTCACTAGTCTAATACTATCCTTACCTTTTTGTGTCATTTTACCCCACTCCCACTAGCATGTAAGCTCATTGAGCAGGGCCCTCAACCCCTCTGTTCCTGTGTGTCCAACTTGTCTGGTTACAACTACATGTCTGTTCGTCCACCCATTGTAAAGCGCTGCGGAATTTGATGGCGCTATATAAATAATAACATAATAATAATAATTGTGAAAGCACTGAACAAGTCGCATCTAGGTCACAAATAGATTTCATGAACGCGAGAATCATGTAGAGTTTGGGAATGGGGGGGGGCGGGTTGTCCGAGACTTAGCTTTGACCAACACATGGGGTGGTGTATGTTTAAATTCCCCCTGTAGTGTATCCGGGAACATGTCCAGGAGGAATATTTCATAGTTCATAAATAAAGTAATTCCCATAAAATGAGTAATGTATTTTTGGATTTCAGACCAAAAGGTCACCAAACTAGGACAGAAGCAAAATATGTGTGAAAGTATCCCAGTTTTATTATTGCAACCCAACAACGCCAAGTCTCCATACTCGGTCCCCTGCTATTCACATTATTTAAAAAAATGTTTTAAATTTTTTGTCGTACAGGTAAATACATTGCGAGAGCAAACACCACAACAGCGTACACGTATACAAGTTAAACAGTGGCATGAGTATATACACATTTTTTGCTTTGTGATGCATAAACAAGCTTAGCGTAGCTTACGAGTATTCATAATAAAGTGTAGTAACCATGTTAAGTTAAGAGTGAAACACAAGAAAGTTATGTAAGTCTAGCTAGGCATAAAATAATAATGAGTAACACATAAGGTTAACCTTGAGCTCCACAAAATAATAAGTAAGGCAAAATATTAGAAAAATTGCGCTCTGGTTATACAGATTGGCACTAGAGTTAGGTATATCGAAAGGTTCATCATGTGGTGTTCATTTGTTAACATAAGAGTGTTGCGCCACTTTAATCTCCGGAGGCTTGGGTGTATGCGGTTGCTTGTTGGGCCCTAGTGAGTGTGGGCCTATGCTGGTAGGCCTCTCCAGGGTGATGGGTGCATAACGAAGCAAGTGCCGCTTAGAGGGTATCGTCGTGTGCCCCCTGGTTTCCCTTTTTACCAGGGGGCCTTTTGTTGCCGTTTTAGTACCTTTTCAGTGACTTATTCCCATTTTTTCCACCCCAGTATCGCTATTCACATTATTTATAAATGGCCTGCCTAACGTCTGCAAATCCTCAACTGTACACATGTATGCAGATGACACTGTAATCTACGCTAGTAAACCCAAGCTACCGCTGCTTGAGGCTGTGCTCCAAGACCAGTTCACAGAGGTAGAAAAGTGGATAGCGGATAACAAACTCTTCCTAAACACTGACAAAACCATTACAATGATCTTTGGAACAGTACCTAAATTACGTAAACTACAAAATCAACAATTGTATCAGAACAAATTCAAATAGCACACTGCCAGCAGTCTGTTCTTTCAAATATCTAGGTATGTTGCTAGACCCCAATCTATCCTTTGGCCTTCACATTGAAAAACTCTCATCAAAACGTTACCCAAAACTAGGTGCCCTGTACAGAAACAAATCCTGCCTAAGCCCCACAGTAAGGAAAAGCTTATTGATTATGGGAGATGTAGTGCATGCAACCGCACAGCAAACCCACCTTAATAAACTTAAAACGTTATATAATTCATTCTGTTGCTTTGTACTAGAATGTAATTACTTTACCCACCACTGTGACATGTTAAAAAGAGCTAACCTGGCTAACGCTGGAATCATGTCGCACTCTTCATCTTTCCAGCCTTGTGCATAAGAGCATTTCAGAGAAGCTCCCACCCTACCTGAGTAGAATGCTCTCCCCGGCTGTCCCCACCTCCAGTAACCTCTGATCCAGTACCAGCACTTTATTTAGTCTACCACAATACAAAAATAAAGTGGCTCGATCCTCCTTTTCCTACAGAGCACCGCAATTATGGAATAACCCCAGGGACACAGTCAAATATTCATTCAATCTAAAATCTTTTAAGAGATCTATGGCAATATACCTCAATACAGAATGCACCTGTCATGGTCGAATATATTTATTACCTGTTATGTATTAAATTTATATATATATATATATATATATATATATGTGTGTATATACATTTAAAGTTTGTATATTGTATTTTTGTAATATTGTATCCTATTGTAACAATGCAACATTTGGTGGACCCAGGACATACTTCAAAACGAGATAAATCTCAATGTATCCATCCTGGTAAAATATTTTATAAATAAATAAATATAGGGGAAAAGGCAGGGAATGTATGCGGATTAGAGCACACCAGCCTGCGGGGCGCAATGCCCTAGTGACCAGCAGGAGGGGAGCGCACAGCGCAGCAGTATCCTCCTGCCGGTCTCTGTATGTAATGTGGCTGGACAGAGGTAGACGAGCTTCTGTAGCCTCTACCCAGTCTGACAGGAACTGCTTCCTGTCAGTCAGGGTAAAGGGAATCAAGTTCCTCTACAGCAGCCATGCTACATAGGGGGAGGTGAGCTGGCATAGGGGGAGGCAGGGTTGGGTGAACAGAGGGCTTACAAAGACACACAGGTGAGGGGAGAAGAAAGACACACAAAGGCGGGAAAGAGATCCACAGAGGGGCTGTGGAAGCAGAAAAAGACACACAAAGGGTTAAAAATGGGGTGGAAAAAGATGGCACATAGGTTCTAGCGGGATGAAGACACACAGAAGGTCTGGGGGGGACAAAGACACACAGAAGGTCTGGGGGGGACAAAGACACACAGAAGGTCTGGGGGGGACAAAGACACACAGAAGGTCTGGAGGGGACAAAGACACACAGAAGGTCTGGGGGGACAAAGACACACAGCATGTCTGGAGGGACAAAGACACACAGAGGGGCTGGGTGGAAGAAAGATACACAAAGGGTTGTGTGGAGAAAAACCCATTAAGATCCTTGGGGTGGGGGAAGAGACACACAGAAGGACTGAGTAAGGGGTAAAAAGAGAGGAAAAAAACAAAGAAGTTGGGGGAGAGACACACAAAGGGTCTGGGAGAAGAAAGAGACAAAAAGTTGGAAATTTATGTTTTTTGAGGAGGGAGGCGCAAATAGCAAGTCTTGCTTAGGGCACAAAATAGTATTGCACCAGCCCTGGGCTACATACAGCAATGTATAAGTAGTTTTCAATGTGTTTCCTAAAGGTTTATGGTTTGAGATTAACCATTGAGAACTAATTGTGATAACTCCTTGTTTAATTCTCCCTGTCATATACAAGGGTTTCTGAGAATTGGACATGTGGGATGGTTTGTGATAACATAAAGAGAGTATTTTAACTGGACACATATCTTAAACATAGCTTTTGAAATGGCAAAGTTCTTGGTCAGGTAAGTAGTAATATTCTGGGAAAACAGAATATGCCAAATTCAGAGACAGGTAGATAACTTACTCTGTGGTTGTGAAGAGTCTGCCCAAAGAGAGTAACATTGTTTAATGTCATCATTGGACAGCAGGTGTCTAATATCATGCCACCCATAGAGATAACAAACTGGGCGAAAATGATGTGGTCAAGCAGAAACTGTCAGATCTTAATACCTGTGCATCTATAATGGAAAAACACAGGGCTGGTTTAGTGTAATGGGATTTTTAAAGCAGATTAAATTATGTCAATTAGGACTAATTGCATAATGATCATCTCAGGGGGTCTTTGCTTTTGTGAAATAAATATTGAACATGAAGGTTCTCACCTGTACTTACCAGAAATGGATCCTGGCCATTTCCATGGCAGCATCTCTAATGGATAAATTCTTCCACTCAGCGAACAGGACATTACGTAATGAATTAAATAATTTTAATAAATACACCTCATTCCCCCTTTCCCAGAGATTTCAGTCTTTATTTCCGGTCCCTCCAGTAGAATGATTCCCTTTCTTTCACGGAGGATCATATTGTAGGACTACATATCACAATGTTTGATGGAAATCCAAACAGGCATTTGGAATATGTTTTAATAGATTTGTGTCCGTTTAGGGGTGGTAACCAAATGAATTTGTCTGTAAAGTCCAAGTATTGTTTTAGTTCTAGCATAACCGGCAGGGCCTGTACACAACAATAAGCCAACAACATTTAAACCTCCAGTTTAGTTCTGCTGTAACCTATGTCATTAGCAAACCTTCCTGGCCTGTCTTAACAAGTACTGAGCTTGGTGCTTCAAAATCTCAGGCAGCCAATGTCTATGTGTTTATTTCTATATAATAAAATCTCCTGCTCTTAGAGGTTTAGTACCAGATTTAGGTGTATTTGATTAACCAATTAAAGACTTTATTTGTACTGAACAGACAAATTTGAAAGACACAGAATACTCACTCACACTCTCCCAAGAAAAAAAAAATGATACACAAACAGGGCTTTGTTAGATATATTATTGAAAACACATGTTCATTATAAATAGTAGGAATTCAAGTCAATACAATTCTCAGATCACTGAGCACGGTTACAGAATACTGTTATCCTCCCAAATAATGGGGCATTCTGATCACTGGATCCAGGAATGGATGTGCTACCAAATTCAAACTAGAAGTTACAAACTCTTCCCATGGCGAAAGCTCTCACGTAGCCTGGCTAATTGGTGTTCATTGTTTCATTATTCCCTGAATGAAATGTTACTGGCGTTGCCAAATTAAACATTTAATACATTTCCTAAAATCCATTGCTGGGGAGACTTCCAAATTAACACAAATTTCTTTAAATGAAAGAGTACTAAACTAAAAGCACGGCTACAATTTTGTAAAATAATTCCCTTTTAAAAAACATTCCCCATTTTAAAATGCCAGTAGTGTACTATGGGATACGCATGATCTTATACGGTATTGTTATTCTGCTTGAGATCAGTAATGTTCTGTCTCTAGAACTGTGAAATTCGCAGAGAGCTGTTTCATTCCTTTGTCAGGATTTAACAGCCCTAGAACCATTTGAGTGTCACATGGACTAATAACACAATTTTAATAGAGCAATATTGGACCTTGAGAGAGAAGCAGAAACTTATTTGATATTATAATAATAGAGGAAGTTTGTTGGTGAGCAACAGAAAAGAGATAGGAGACTGGCAATTCAGGTCCAAGTTTTCTGTTGGAGCTGTTAACCAGCAGCCTCATTACATGAGGACTAATGGCACACTTAAAAAACCCTCATATGTTAAACTAGATCTCTGCTTGCTACGATGGATGCATACTTTGCAAACTCTGGGCAAGGTATTTATCTTTACCATTTGTCACACGATGATGGCTTGGAGGTAAGGATAGCAAAATCTGTAACCAGACATTTACAAGATGGAATTATGTACGTTGTGATTGGTTATAGCGGTTCACAGGAATATATTGTCATTATTGCCATCTATTATACACTTGGGAATTATCTTAGATCAGCATGTGGAAAAGTTACGTTTTAAATTGTTGTGTGTTAAAACTATAATCCAATATTAATTTTCAGAGTAAACCACCCATGGTTCTCTATAACAGAACAGGCCTTTGCAGTAATCCAAGGCATCAGATCCTTTGTCATAAAAAGGAAAATTATAGAAACAGCAGCTCATTTAAAAAAAATAGAATTAAATCATTGGGCGTGCGAGTAGAACAACAACTTAGTATGATCCCTTTAGACTGGAGACTCTTTAAGTAAGAGTAGAAGATTGTCCTACGATGATGGATTGGAAAATCCAAAACAAGATACCATGGTCCAACAGTGAGCCATCTCATCGTAGACAGGGAGACAGGTGCTGAAGCCATCATCCCAGATGTCCATGCCGTTCAATAAGAGTGGCCAACAAATAGCATTGCTACAATCAGTTATGCTTGTTCCCCATCCAGAACGATGGTCAATACTGAAGCCAAAACGTTGCACAGGAACTGGAGCTTCTCAAATAAGCACACTGGAGACTGGTACCTTGGTTGATCGTCCTCGTTTCGGGACGACAATTCTATCGTCGGCGCTCTCCTCCACTTCCAAAAGACCTATCAAAAGAAAAGATCAGACAATTTGTTAATTTATAGCAGTTGCCCAAGAGCTACAATAGGATCTTCCCATGCAACCACTATAGCGGAAACAGGCCTTTAGCATCTAGAAAAGAATGAAACAACAAGATCGTATTTCACAGGACAACATTTATATCATATTTTTCCAAATATATCCTTCTACTCAAGTTTGGCCTTGTAAATATGAAACTCGAAAACATGGTATTTAGTATTGTAATCCTTTCCTTATGTTTGAGACTTTATGCGCTGTCACAAGTAATCAAAACATGCTTGACTTTTGTTTAGGGAATCACAGATTTTAAATCTTGCAATTTTGGAAAGGTTATCCAGGCCTCATATCTCAGAACACTTTATCGGTTTCACCTTGGGAGTACAGTTCTGCCTTCTTGCGATCCTTCTGTATGAAGAGTGCTGTCGCAAGGAAAAAGCCACCGCCGATGGCTCCCACAAATGAGCAAAGCATCAGAGCATAGCCAAGGCTGTGGAACTGCAACAGGTAAGAATCAGGCTTTCCTTTACGGACTCTATCGGAAATCTGAGGATTAGAAAGATGAGATACAAAGAAGCAGTTACAGCTGGTGATAATGTGATATATAGACTATGAAAAGATGTTAAAAAAAAAAAAAAATCCAAGCCTATTCTATTTAAAAAAAACAAAAAAAACTACCAAAACAATTGTCTCCACTTAATTAACCAAACTATGTCAATCTCTCTGTTGAAATAAAAGCCCAAGAAATAGAGAATTTGGTGGACAATGAATTTCCACTCATTTGAGCCAAATAAATGTATGTACCAAAACGCCAAAAAATTTTTTTTTAAAAAAATGTCATATTAATCAGTACTGCAGAGGTTGGCAGAAACTTGTATGTGACTGATCCCAGTAATAAAATTATTGGTTGAGGAATTTATTTCATACAATATTTTGTGTTTTACTTAAGAGGGTTGCACTCAATCACAAAAATGAACACAGGGTGCACTGAGCTGCAACGTTTCGACCTGTACCCAGGTCTTTATCAAGCTTGATAAAGAACTGGGTACAGGGTGAAACGTTGCAGATCCAATAGAAACTGCCTTGAACATATTACAGTGAGTGCCTGAGATTTTTTCATTTATGTATATTATTGACCTTTTCAGTACTGAACAATGCTGAAAACGTTAGCGCTAAAACATGCATTTAAGAATAATAATCAATTTTTGGATGTGGTTAAATGGGACAGAAAAAAATTATTATATGAATAAAAACTAGTTGCACATACAAAAACAAACAAACCTAAATTGTCCCATATTACAGGGATACAAATTTCTTTCCATTCTTTACATTACACAACATAAATTAGGAGGAACAGTGAACACGTACAAACGATCTGTTCACATGTATTTGTAAGAATGCAACACGGATGCTCCCAGATGGGGAGTGTTCCTTTATGTGACATACAGTATATACACTTGCTCAGATCCCACCCTATATCTGGCTATTCTGTGGCCAGATCGGTTTCAGTATCACTTAATGATGTAATATTTCAACAACTGCTGATAATCTATAATGGGCATTGCCATAGAAATGAACGCTTGTACACAGAGACAGATCTATTCACTCAAGTGAGGATTTTGGGGAATTTAAAATAGCTGCACTGAACATAGAATCAATTTAAATCATTTTTTCCAAATGTGTTATTTTGCAGAAATTTACTTTGAATTTCATCAATTTTCACTTCAGTGAATAACCCCGTGGGCGATATTTTTAATGAGCAGGCACCCCAGAGAAGGGTGACAATGGGTGTTAATGTTCATGGAGATATAACGATCACTTACCACTCCAATTAAGTATGGGCTGCCGGCGTCTCCCAGCAAGTGGGATACAACTATCTGCAAAGCCTCTGCCGTAGACCGTCTTGTGGGGATCACCACGTACTACGAGAAGAGATCAGAAGATATATCACCACAGCAAGCTGGGGCAGCAAAACATCACACACTATTCAAGTACAGCTGGAACGAGGGAAGGGATTGAATGCCAAAAGCAGCCAAATATAAAAACGTACATCAAAAACAAACAGAATCTTAACACAAAGTATATTCTTACAGGTAAGGTTGAAAATGTGCAGTAATGCAGGAAGCACTGATAGCACAGGGGACACTGCAGGCACTATAACCATTTAATCTCACTGACGGAATCCTATGGCACTATCCCTCCAGTTAAACACCTGGACACCAGTAGCCTGGCCCCTGCTGACGCTATGACTATGGCAGGGATTACACATTTCCATCTAGCCACACCGATTCATACCAACAGTTACAGTGCCTTTAATTACAAGTCAACACACAAAAGTTGTATAATGTCAGGAACGTATGTATTTGTCTAATCTGTGATCAAAATCTTTTAATCCTCCTAAGATGTCCTTTTATACATTACCAGTAATATGTCAGCAACAAGGGCCCAGTTCAAGGACAGCAATGTTTCCCCAATAAAGATAAAAACCTGCAGAGAGGAAGAAGAGTGATACAGTTATAAAGAAACACACACTGTGCCATGACCAACAGAGTAATCCACAGTTCTTGTATAACTTTGGGAGTGGTTACTACTGCTACATTCTCCTGAATGTCCTGTATGCAGGAGGCAAACTATAGGAAAACTGGATCCTTAACTCCTGGATTAATCTGCCCGGACACGGACTAATCATTCCACTAACTTGTCTTTGATATTCTGCTACTACCAGGCATAGGAGGCTTAAATTGTGCATTTTTAGAGAGTGCAGGCAAGGAGAAGTACTCACGTAAGTAGCGATAAGGCTATCCTCTGCAAACACTAAGGACAGGAAAAGGAAGGGGGATGAGCACAGGAGGCCCATGGCGCAAACCAATGGGTCAGAGCGTGGATTTACTTTCCGGTAACGCCTGCTGATCTCCACACCAGCCCCGACCCCCAGAAGACCAGTCACACATGTGATCCCTCCAAAAATCATACTACAGAAGAAATATATAAAAAGCATAATGAGTTAAAAAAAGGAGGAAGTAGACTTGGGAGAGGAAAAAAAAAAGTGAAACAAAATCCAAAGTCAGTGATATTTTTTATTGTATGTGAGCAAACACAAAGACAGCAGTGCATACATTTCTGTAATTAGGGAAATAATGCATTAATTACCTATATATTGATAATCTGGTCTTTTATAGCAATCACACTTCCAAACCCAGCAAGGGAAGTATCCCTTGTACCCCTAGCCTGCGGTTGTGACGTTTTCACATGGATGACAGCCAGCTAAGCCTAGCTAAAGAGGGTGTTTCAACAAACTGTGAATTGCCATGTATCAAGCAAGAAAAGTCCAATTTAGGGCAATATTGAGAAGTTTTTTAGTTTTTTTTATATTTATCTCTAAATTTGAAATTTCCTGGTGAATTTCCTAGTGAACACCACTGTGCATGTCCTATATATTTTTTATATCATTATTTATAACGCACCAACAAGTTCAGTAGCGCTGTACAATGTGTGGACTAACAGACATGTATTTGTAACCAGAGGAGTTGGAAACACAGGATCAGAGGGATTGAGGGCCATGCTCAGTGAGTTTACATGCTAGAGGGAGTGGGGTATAGTGACACAGTAACAGAGGGATTGAGGGCCCTGCTCAGTGAGTTTACATGCTAGAGGGAGTGGGGTATAGTGACACAGTAACAGAGGGATTGAGGGCCCTGCTCAGTGAGTTTACATGTTAGAGGGAGTGGGGTATAGTGACACAGTAACAGAGGGATTGAGGGCCCTGCTCAGTGAGCTTACATTTAGAGGGAGTGGGGTATAGTGACAGTAAGAGGGATTAAGGGCCTGCTCAGTGAGTTTACATGTTAGAGGGAGTGGGGTATAGTGACACAGTAACAGAGGGATTGAGGGCCTGCTCAGTGAGCTTACATGTTAGAGGGAGTGGGGTATAGTGACACAGTAACAGAGGGATTGAGGGCCATGCTCAGTGAGTTTACATGTTAGAGGGAGTGGGGTATAGTGACACAGTAACAGAGGGATTGAGGGCCTGCTCAGTGAGGTTACATGTTAGAGGGAGTGGGGTATAGTGACACAGTAACAGAGGGATTGAGGGCCTGCTCAGTGAGTTTACATGTTAGAGGGAGTGGGGTATAGTGACACTGTAACAGAGGGATTGAGGGCCTGCTCAGTGAGTTTACATGCTAGAGGGAGTGGGGTATAGTGACACAGTAACAGAGGGATTGAGGGGCATGCTCAGTGAGTTTACATGTTAGAGGGAGTGGGGTATAGTGACACAGTAACAGAGGGATTGAGGGCCTGCTCAGTCAGTTTACATGCTAGAGGGAGTGGGGTATAGTCAGGGGCGTTTTAGCTGCGAGGCAAACAAGGCATTTGCCTTGGGTGGCATTTTCCAGGGGGCGGCCAAAAAAGCCGCTTCCCAAATGCCCAGGGCAAATGCCTTGTTAGCCTTGCGGCTGACAGGCTGGGCGGGCGGGCGGGCGGCTGGCGAGGGAGCACTTTTTCTGAGCGATCTAATCAGCTCCCTCGCGCGCCACAGAGTGAAGCTGGGAGCCGGAATATGACGTCATATTCCGGCTCCCAGCCTCATTCTGCGGTGCGCGAGGGAGCTGAGCAGACATCTCAGAGGAAGTGCTTGCCCACCAGCGCCCCCCGACCACCCAGTAGCCACTGCACCCCCAGGAAGAGAGGGAACCCCCCCCCCCCAGCATTCCCAAAGGAAAGGAGGCTGGGGGGTAAATAAATTTAAAAAAAAAATTAATGTGAATGTGTGTGTGTGTCTGTTAGACTGTGTGTCTGTTAGTGTGTGAGTGTGTCTATTAGTGTGTGTGCTTGTGTGTCTGTTAGTGAGTGTGTCTGTTAGTGTGTGTGTTTCTGTTAGCTAGTGTATGCGTATCTGTCAGTGAATGTGTGTGTGTGTATATTTAGAAGGCGGGGCGGGGAGAAGGGTTGGGTGGGGGTGGCACGGGGGCATCTGAGTTTTGTCCTGCCTAAGGCAGCACAAAACCAGGATACACCACTGGGTATAGTGACACAGTAACAGAGGCCCTGCTCAGTGAGATTACATGTTAGAGGGAGTGGGATATAGTCACACAAAAGGTAAGGGTAGGGTAGAAACAGTAGGTTGCTGGGATAATATTCACTGAGGGCTTAGTGTTTTGTTTTGATGACAGTTGCAGGAGAGGAATCGGGGTTTAAGTTTCATGGTTTGTGTTTAAAATCGATTCCTTATCATGCACCTAATCAGATTGCTTGCTAATTTCTTTTATCTGTTTTTTTATTATATAGTTATCTAGGTGTGCGCCTATGGCATATCATTAAACTTGCAAGGGAGACCTGGAGGGATTATTCTCAGCGTTCTTTACTTTCTCCCAAGCGTACAGAGAGGAGATAGCTCCTGGTAGCGTCATGTGCCAAAATCTGAAGCCATTAGTTCATGTAGGAAGAATCTAGACCTTTCTTGGGAGGGAAAGGGTTAATGTAAAGTCTTGTAGGATTTAAGCAACAAGCGGGTTCAAACTTTAATAGAAATCAGTGTCACTGAGACCTGCCAGTATACAGAATGGAAGATAAATTGGAGGACAGTAATGGTGTTTGAGAGTCTTACCTGTCATCAGAGTCACAAATAGGGGTTTGGCATGGCTCATGACTGTACAAGACCCTCCGTGCCCGCATCAAAAAGGTTGGAGCCCAAAGGGCCAGGGCTCCGGTTACAAATGCTACGGTGGTAAATCCAAAGGTTGACAGGACAAAACTAGGACTGCAAGAGGAGATAATAAAATTAAAAGTCAGGCGCCAGGTACAGGCCAGATGTTTGTGAGTTAGAACCGAAGTGTAACTCACTTCTTTAGCAAAGCTTTAACATCAGATGTCCAGGAAGTGTAGATGAGGGGTTTGTCTGTCTTCCGTTCCACAGCTCCTCTGGGAGGTTCTTGGACTATGAACAGCAGCAGTAAAATGGCTATGAAACCCAGTCCTGGAGTAACCTGCACCCCAAAATCAGACAGTGTCAGTGTTCGTACTACATGTCTTGAATATCTGGCTACAAAGAATAATACCAGAGATCCACATTGACGTACATACAGACTGAGCAAATAAACAAACGCTTGGTGCAGTTTACACTTTAAAAGGTTACTCCAACCTGCATGGCCACTTCAGCTTTTTGAAGTGGTCGTGGTGGTAGGAGTCTGGATGTGCAGTGTTTAAGCTTGAAATTCTGACCACCCAGAGTTATTTCTAATTGTGTACCAGGGGCTAGTTGAACCGCAGCACAGGGGACTGTTCCGGGCTGCCTAATGTCAATACTTCAGCATGCTGGTGACACTCGTACTAATCTTCTCCCTTGTAGCAAGTGCATCTTCAAGAGGAAGACTGCTTCCCCATCCATCCCTCTGTAACTTAACTAGGGGTTTTTATGAATAAAATATCCCTCCCACCATCCGACTCAGACTGCACGCATACACTCTGAGCTGGCAAAACAGTCCAAGTTGTTCATTTTAAATAAAATTGTGCTTATTCTCTCGCTATATCTTAGTGTGCAAAGATACCCCAAGCTATTTGCCATTCAGCAGCCAACAAGTGACACACAGTCTGAAGCTTTCTGGTTTTACTTACTCGTAATGCCCAGTGCCAGTTTCCACCAGCCACACTCGTCACCTTTGATCCAACAATATATCCAAGTCCACTATAAAATGGAGAAATGAGTCAGCCTTCTTGTGTCGAACAGACCCTACACTAATCAATGTTATTACACAGAACTGGAAATAGGGTTTCGCCATGACACCAAACCCAACTGAAAGTTCATACCGGCTGAAAGATCATAGTTCACTAAACAAAAACTTGTAGAAGACTAACAATAGAATGTCAAATTTCTGCCAAATGGAACAGAACTGATTTGAATTATTTTTTTAAACTCAGTTTTGTTTTGTTTTTTACAGTTTTACTATGTTTGTCACAAATTTGGAATTCCTTGGTGAATTCTTCACAATTCCTTAAATCTTTTTTTCTGATATAACTTTTTTTCTGGCCACGAAACCGGCATTTACAACCTTGCCAGCACTACTCAATCCAACCCAGACTCCTCAAAGGTGTATGACAGAACCTACAACTGGCCAGAATCGGGAACTCACCAACCAACAGGTGTAGCCAGATAGAAGAAAGACAGCATGCGGCTACGCTGATCAGCAAGGAAGAGGTCAGCAATCAGCGTGGGAGCAATGGTGGAGTAACTGGCTTCCCCAACTCCCACGAGACCCCGTGTGAGCAGAAGCAGCCAGAAGTGCTGTAAAGACAAGAAATTGACAACAGTCATCAATAAATATCTTGAAGAATACTATTATCAATAGCAGCAATGCCACAGTAAATTGGAGACTTTGAGAACTAGGTGAATTACACAAGTGATGACTTCCCCAAGGAGATTTGAATAATATGATTTCTCATGATGCCGAGTACCATGGTTAGACATCATAGATTTACACGCATTCTGCACCATGGCTGGACCTGGGAGAAATTGAATAATTGGTTTCAAATGCCTTGTGACGTTACCTCCTTAGGGATGAACGAGCTGGAGAGGGTGATGAGTGACCAGAAGGTGATGCCTCCACACATTATGTATTTTCTATTGTACCGATCACCCAGGTACCCAAAGACAGGAGCCAGCACCATATAACTACTAATAAACACTAGGAAGAGGAAGAGAAGGAGTAGTGAAACCATGCAATCAGAAAAAAAAATTAAACAAAAAATACAGTAAAAGAATGAAAAACACAGGTTATTAATGTAATTAAAATATAAACATCCTGTATCCTAAATGATTCACCTAGTAACACGAGAGAGAGGAAAATACACATCGCAGTAATCAATACAATATCGATTGGCATAGAGCAAACATAGACAGTCTGGTGGATTTAAGGTTGTACCTGTCTGAACCAATCCGGAGTCACTGTCCTTGATCTTAAAATCATTTGCAATATCAGGGAGAACACCTGTGTAAACAAGCGCAAAAAAAAAAAAAAAATACACAATCCATTAAAATACAAGAAAGAGTTTAATATCCTTGATAGATATAACATTATGACGGATAAAAAAATTCAAAGTTCTCTATTTTTATTTTATTTTTTATAAATGAATCCCCTTCATTATTATTTCATTATTTATATAGCGTCAGCAAATTCCGTAGCGCTGTACAATGGGTTCATAACTATATTTTAATACTCTCCTATTGAACGTCTGCCACAGTGCTTCTTTTATCTCACACACAGTGCGGGGAGGTATTCCGTAAAATAAAATTGAGTTTTGTGGATTTCAAGGGGCACACTCAGCACCATAACCACTACGGCTCAGTGTGGCAGTTTTGGAGAGCGGTTAATTAGCCCCCAACAATCTCTGCCTATCTCGTCTGCTGAAATTGATAATGCTACTCATGAGAAAGTGTAAGCACCACACAACACTTGCACTATACCTGGCAGGAATTTATTAGGGAATTGCATGTTTTGACCTAAAATTTGCATTTCCCCCATGAATGCTCTGAAATTATGGTTAATGAATAATCACAAAAATCTAACAGCAAAAACAACACGCTCCAAAAAGAATGCGGAAATACAACAGACTGTGCCCCATATGTAGCTAATCACAGACTATAAAGAAAACTGCCCCGTTACCTGCAACAGTGAAACGATCCATATAATTTAAAAGATTAATATAAACGAGGACCATGACAATGACAACAGAGCGTTTATAAGAGATCCCAGTCACAAGCAGCACATCTTTAATATTATCGTCATCTTCCTCATCAGACACCTGGCTTTCTGGATCTCGGTCTTGCTCCTCCTCAGTGTTATCCGCCTGTGTTAGGAAGGGGGCAGAGTCCAGACTTCGTCGGGACGCCATTATAAATGGCTTCTGAAGTTACGTCCGCCAAGAAAACTAAACAGAGAAAGGGACAGAATTTAACAAAGTTCAAACTTTAACTTTAGTTTAAAGATATGTGCATGTCAGTTGCTAGAATGTGAATGTTTTCTTAGAAGCAAAAGCCAAAAGAAAAAAAAAAAAAAAAAAGTTACCTGCGCTCTCCTTAATCCCCATGTATATTTAGACAAATTGAGGTCATTTAGTTACTCCAATGGCCATTGGAGGGAATGCTGGGAGTGAGTGCAGGACTTATCTTTTTGTATCACACAGTTTTGTTACAATGCAGCTGCCCATCCCATGTGTTCCCTATTAAGGGTTAATAAGTATATAGGGGTGTATATAAAAAAATACCCCTCTCTGTCTCAGAGAGAGAGAGAGACTGCACCACAGAGAGAGAGAGAGAGAGAGAGAGAGAGAGAGAGAGAGAGAGAGAGAGAGACTGCACCACACTGGGGGGGGAGGTCTGCCATGATGTTGGCAGGCGGGCATTTCCTCCAATGGCCATTGGAGCAACTTGTCTAAATATACATAGGGATTAAGGAGAGAGTGCAGGTAACTTTTTGGGGGGTTTTTAACTATGTAAAGAATTAGATCAATCCAAACATCTCTAGTCTAATTTAATTTAAGATACTCCTCCAGACTGTCCACTCCCTACTCCCCAAATCCGTGTATCCTTCTCCAGATTCACCACTCCCAACTTCTTCTCCAAATCCCTGTACTCCTCCCCAAACCCATTCCTTTCTCCCTCAGATCCCTGCACCATTCTCCTCCAGATCAACCATTCCCTATTCCCCCAGATCTGTGCAAGCTTTTCCTGCTACACACACACACACACACACACACACACACACATACCACTTTATTGCACCTTTATCCAGCTCACCACAACTGCCCCCCACCCTGATCCCAGTACACTTCTCCAGAGCCACCGCCCCTTTGTACTACAGGCCCATGCATTCTTCTCCTTCAACCCACCACCCTACTTTCCCAGATTATTACAGCCTTCCCCTCCAGATCCACCACCCCCTTTTCATCTGACACCCCCCACACACTCCTCCAATCCCCTGTGATCTTTTCCATGTGACCTCATACGCTGTTAATTTGGCCCCATCCCCCCCCTTCTCCCCCAGTTCTCTTCACATTTACCTACATAGCAGCGTTTTTTTATGGCTCCACCTTACAATTTCCCTATAGCTTCATCACACTCCAGTGCTCTACCTGTATCACTTCCTCTCTTCACGCCATCGACCCTGCCATTACCTGTCACGGTTTATTTACTAAAATCTAAATTGTAGAGAACTGAAACCCTAAAGGCAAGTTTAGCCTACAATAGAAAGGATGTGACTGTAACAGAGTTGGACAAAATCCAGATTAAGGAACAGCGCACACACACAAATACGTTTACATTTTACAAGGTTACTTAACCTCTTAAGGGAGGAAGCAATTGTACAAGTTCTGATCAAAACAAAACCTGGAATTTGAGCTATATATTCAACCATAATTTACCTCTTTCATATTAAGCGCACCCACACTAATATATATATATATATATATATATATAATTTTGTTCAGGGGAAACAGGGATTTCATTTCACATCAAATAATTATATATGAAACAATTTAATATGAATTAAACAAAAACAAAAAAAAGCGTGAGACATTAAGAAATATATTTTCTTAGTATTGCAACGCATTTAACAGTGAATGTCATAATAGCTTTATACACAGATTTGTGTTCAGCGATGTCTCACAAATGCAACAGTACCCCCATGTACAGGTTTTACGGGGTTTTGAAAATGTGCATGGTCAAACATTGGGCTATGCCCTTTTTGGTTTTTACATATTAAAATTTGCCAGATTGGTTTGAGGGTCCTATGTTGCCTTTGATACCATATGGTAGCACAGGAATCAGAATTACTCCCATTATGGCATATCATTTGCAAAAGTAGACAACTCTATATACATACTCACAATGCATATCATATATTTGCTCTATAGCAAATAAAGAAATATAATTAAAGTGACATTGCTATTCAAAACCTCCTCAAATTCATACTTTCCTGTGGTCATTTAGCACCATTTATACAGTCTCCCATTTTGCAATTAGTGTAGGAGCCACCAATATTGGGGTACTGTGACGTAGTGGTGGGTTTAACACAATATAGCCATGTGGTGGAACTGAATCTCCATGTTAGTTTGCTGAGATAGGTGATTTTAAGTAGCCTTATAAAGTTTAAAAACTGTATGTTTGTGTGTGCGCTGTTCCTTTATCTGTATTTTGTATAAATGTTGGTCTCTGTGGCAGCACCAATCCTGAGAAATGGATATTCCGGGTGTGCCCCCAATTCCCATTTATTTATTTTTTACTATGTAACAAAGTTGGAGAATTATTCAAAATCTGCTCTTTTAGAATAACATTTGCCATTCAGAATTCACCACAGTTTAGTGAAAAAGCCAGAATGCCATAATTCCTGCATTTTGCATATGTCCCAGTCCCTGGGTAGTAATTCTATCACAAAGTATTTGTAAACGGTTCTTACAGTATATTGTAACACACTGTCTTTCTATTCTGTCACATGAACATAAAGAACACGGCCCAGTCACATATTACTCATTACATCCTTACAAGCATTATCTGACCAAGTGCTGACACTTGAGAAAACAGGAGACCAGGAACTTTGTACAGCAACATATCTTTTCTTTAAAAAAAGCAGAACATTCTCATTCAAACATATGACCAAACCACCGTAAGCAACACATGGAACAGTTTTTATAATTTCCGATTAATATGGCTCTTGCATTTAATTCCCAAAGAAACAAGCTAAAATCAGCTTGCACTCCGAAGCCACTGTGACTTGTTGAACCTGCTCCACTGCTCTGATAATTAGCGGTTATATCTGCATAACAGGCCTTAATAAAGCACATTCAACAAATATATTAAGCTATCGAAGACATGCTTGAATGGATTATTGTGACCACATGAACATACAGATCACTTAGAACATGAATTAATGAAATCAGGCTCAGATGATCATTCCCCTGTGGCTCTTATCACTGATAAAAAAAAAAAAAGGAACCCTTTTGTTTGGTGAAGAGCTTCTATAGTCTCTTAGGGAGCAAAGCACTGACCTACCTATTTTGTTTCAGATGCCAGACACTCAGACAACCCATATACTTTACTACTTACATCCTACCCTAAAGAAGTCTCCTTGACGGACAGAAACGTTTCTAGTGCTGTTCATGCTCATTTAAACCGTCTTTTCCTACACGTACCATGAAATTGAACTTTATTTTATTATAAAAAGACTGCAGATAAAAACATAAAAATACAGAGTAATCAACATCAAACCTCTAATAATCCAAAAATCCTCAAACCATACAGTTACACTCACCAACTGATGAATGGCTGAGTGCCTCCCCTTCTTTTCTGCGATGTCTTAGTAGCACACTCTCATGTTTATCAGTCTTTTTATTGCTGGTTCATAAAGGGTTAACTGAGCGTTTTATCCGGTCTCATTCCCGGTAAATCTGCAGGGGAATGAATTTAGTTATTCATCTCTCTAAAATGTTCTACTGTTTAGCAGAACCTTCTGCCACCGTTCTGTTATGTAGGTTACATATCCACAGATTTATCTCTGTCTCCCTGTCTCTCCCTCTCACTGGAGTAATATCTTTGTGTGTCATGCAGCAGGTCTCTCTCTTGTGTTAGCTCAGTTTGTAATACAGTCTGTCTGTTCTGATAGTGGTCTCCACTGAACAGTCTGTTAGTCCACCCATTGTACAGCGCTACGGAATTTGTTGGCGCTATATAAATAATATGTACATTGTGGTGCAGTCCCTCTCTCCCCCTGTACATCTCTATGTGGTGCAGTCTCTCTCTCTCTTTGTATCTCTTTCTTTATGTGGTCCAGACTCTCTCTCTCTCTCTCTCTCTTTGTATCTCTCTCTGCGGTGCAGTCGCTCTCTTTGTATCTCTCTCTGCGGTGCAGTCTCTCTCTCTTTGTATCTCTCTCTGCGGTGCAGTCTCTCTCTCTTTGTATCTCTCTCTGCGGTGCAGTCTCTCTCTCTTTGTATCTCTCTCTGCGGTGCAGTCTCTCTCTCTTTGTATCTCTCTCTGCGGTGCAGTCTCTCTCTTTGTATCTCTCTCTGCGGTGCAGTCTCTCTCTTTGTATCTCTCTCTGCGGTGCAGTCTCTCTCTCTGTATCTCTCTCTGCGGTGCAGTCTCTCTCTTTGTATCTCTCTCTGCGGTGCAGTCTCTCTCTTTGTATCTCTCTCTGCGGTGCAGTCTCTCTCTTTGTATCTCTCTCTGCGGTGCAGTCTCTCTCTCTGCGGTGCAGTCTCTCTCTTTGTATCTCTCTCTGCGGTGCAGTCTCTCTCTTT